GTATAAAATCATTGTGAGAACTTATTTAATTTGATGATCTCATTTTCATTTCGGAGGAAATCGTGGGGTAAATAGTTATTAAGGTAGCTGTCACCAGGAGAAATAAACGGATTCCTCTTGGTCATCTGTCGTTGGCTCTACTTGGACATTATAATTTACCCTGTCCCCAAGGAAGGCTACTTCGATTCCGGTTAAAACGGGCTAAGCTGTCATCGGCCATATGACGGATATCAAGCTGAAGATTCGAGAAAACTCATCGACATATCCTTACATGTAATAAATATAACATATGCGGGTAAATTTTGACGATTTATAGGTCTGTGCATTCGTATGTTTGTGTGCCTCATTGTATGTTTTTGTGAACCAATTTGTCAGGACATACTTAATGGTATATTGCTATAATATATAATTATCTTATGATATATATTTTTTACCTTTTATTATTATCTTAGTTAGTATTATTACAAGCCCATTTTATGAGCGCCTCCTATCTCAATTTATTTGTCCTCATTTATAGTCTTGGAAGCTCCAGCCGACTTCATTTGTTTCATGAACTCGTCTCAAGCTCCACAGATCAACTGCACCTGGTCCCCCCCTGAAGTGCTAACTGGCCGGATCGCCGGCTATAACCTTGTCTACACAGCTTTGGATCCCAACCAAAAAAGTAACTCATGGTATCAGAAGTTTCTAGATGGTTCGATCCATGTAGACGAAAAAACGCTTTCAGCCCTTCTTACCAGGGGCCTGCGCTTCGGACCGACCTACGCGATCACGATCACCGCTACAACGTTATTAGATATCTCAGGGAAAGCCAGTTACACAGAAGTCAACATGACGTCGGAAGGTCAGTCATTCAAGAAGTTTAAGTTAAGTACTTAAATTTGAGCTCTTTTCATTATGCTATAGTTCGATGTCATGCCTTCAAGCTGTGGTTGTAGATTAACTAAAACACAAATATTTTTTGGTGAGGTTTCGTTAAGCATGGTGACCTGCCTTGAAGATGTCCGTCACACGATGGACAAGAGCTCAACAAGAATTTATCGGGGTCGTAGGGCGATGCTCCATGGACCTGTTCACACTAATCTACAGTATCAGCTCCAAGTAAATCTCTCTATAGCTTTCGATGAGGCCAATTTACGAATACCTTCCACTCGCTTCTTCAGACGAAATGAAGGGTGCTCAGGCATCACTCTATTGAAGGATTATTTGAAATCCAGGTTTTACACGCCTCAAATTTAAGAGTGATACAAATTCTATCATACTTTAACATAAGCCGAGGTATATACAAATTTAGATTAGATATAGGCTCTACTACTTGGCTGATATTTTTATTGACAGAATATTCTCATCAAACTCCAGGACCGTTATAAGTGTACAATCTACGATACATCAGATGGGTCAGGATCACCACAAGGTAACTATAATGCACAGGTATACTCTGCATTCAAAGACCTGGTCAATATATTTATTAGACTGTAATTAATAAAGTGAAGTACATTTCTGATAAGTATAAATAATGCGAATGAGTTCACTTTTGTTTTTACTAGCCCATGGAATAAATACTAGCAATTTTGGCATGCGTTTGACAATATTAGTTATATAAATTCTACAATCAAAATTACCTTCTTAGCTATTAGACCTCCTCGTGATTTCCTGCCGAACTATTATAAATAAAATAACAATTTTATAGGCTATAGCAATAAAATGAGCTACCTTAAATATATATTTTAATAATATGAGATGTATTCATCCTACTTCGTTTAAAATGATGTAGATGATAATATAAGTAGGCCTTACGGTTCCATTAAATTTCGCATTGCTTTCTTTCCAAAAAGTCAATCTTAAGAACTTATAAACGAAAAACATGTAATGTATGAAATGTATTCCTACCCTT